TCCTTTTCTGCTCTTGTCCTCACTGGTGCTTTGATGACACCCATTGTAGCAGCTGACTGTGTTCCCAGCCTTCACGTTTACTGTGTTACCCCCGGCTAATAGATGGTGGAGGTTGACAGGATAATGTTTGCTTGAAGGAAATCTCACTATGACTGTATCTCATTTATTTGTTTATCTTTAGATCCTTTCTAAGTTCCCTTTCTAAATTGCTGTTCAGTATGTTTCCTGAGCACTAAATAAATGCTACCATCTGCTTTAACTGTCATTTTCCCTTTTGATTTGTAAGATACCTGATTTTTTTTTCCACCCAGAATTACATATCGATTAGAATATCATCAGAAGTTTATTTCATAAACCAGTTAAAAAATTGATTAAAAAAAATTAAACTCCTGAACTCTTACACTTATTACCTTCATTCATTTAAACTCTGTCTGTTCATCATGGCTTACAGCTAAAAAAAACAACAACTAAGTTGTAATTTAAGTGGTATATTATCATAAAGAGCAATAAAAGCACTTTTATTTCAGAAATGTATTTAAGTCAAGACAATCATAGAGGAAACTGCTGACTTGTCCAGGACATCAATGGATGCCCTCAAAAGGGAGGCTAAGCCAAAAATGGCACTTCTAAAGAAGCAAATTGTTCACAGAGCAGATAGATATATAGAGATAGATAATTTAGGGGAGGAAAAAGTTGTGTAGAAGAAAGTACGCAGGAACAGCCTTGATGAATATGAAGCAAAGCCCCTTCAGAGCTTAGCTGAGTTGCAGATTGTAGATAGAATCATTGCTGCAGAAGCAACAGAGTAATTTTTCATGCTGATTTAATGTAGATGTTAACGACACAGTCTAGAAGTGTAGTTCCAAAATGTATGATATATGTAGATCTGAGATTGACCACCCATCCTTTTGCACTGATCAGTGTTAATGAAGCATTGCTTTTTTTTATGTTTTTCTTCTACTCCATGTCCCATTGCAATAACAGGATACATTAGGTGAGGGAAACCAGCTTCTTTTTTAAGGATTTATCTCTCCTTAGTCGGGGTGTCTACTTGTCTGCTGGACTTTTGAGTCAGCAGACTCCTCTATAATTATGCAGCCCATAAGACATTTCTGTATTAAAAAAGTTTTGTTTTTTTTTCTTTTACTGCTCTAATATAATATAAAGACATTTGAGAAACAAAATTTTCTTTTTTTTAATAAACTGTGGGCCATTATCAAAATTAACAAAAAAAATGTATCACTAATAAATCTAAGACAAAAAAATCTAATATTGTATTATTTTTTTTAAATAAATTAACCTTTTGATGATATTGTAATTCATTGATATACCATACCTCTGCACTGTTTATTTCTGCAGATGCCACCAGTTGTTTAGTCTTCTAAATGCAATGATCTTTGTGTTGCAGGACTAAATGTGGACCCTTTTTATAAAGAACAAGATGCGGGGCATCAAGTGTCAAACAGCGACACTCCTGATCCTAATGACGGCCCTGCCTCCCCAGCCTCTCTGTCAGAGCCACACCATAAGAGATGCATGAAGGAAGAGGAAAACGAACCACCTCCTTGCAAGAATAAAACCAGAAGCTCATTAAAGAGTGGTTTAAAGGATACGTTTCTGGACAAAAACTTGTCTGATATAAACCAGGCAAATGATGCAGAGCAGACGGTTGTTGAAGGTGATCTAAAATCACCTATAAATAAAACTCCTGAAGTCAATCAGACAAAGAATACAGAATCGGATAACAATGCTGCAGAGGAGGATTCTTCTGAGGCAGCACAAAGCATATCGGGTGAGGACTCTTGGACATGTCCGTTAACATCGGACGAGCTGTCTCCGTCTCAAAGCGATGCTGAAACTGAGGGATCCTCAAGTCTGCTGCCCGACAATCCACCTTCAGAGCGCCTGGTCCAATCCAAGAACTGCTCAGGCATGATTCTTAAGCTGAGGAAGATGCTCAGTGTGGGCCTGAAGAGAAAAAGGGCTTGCTATGAAGCCGTGTCACAGTCAGAGACGGGTGGCGAGTCTTCGCCATCACAACCTGAGGTTGGAGAGGGCGCAAGCAGTGAGAGAGACCAACAAAGGATGCCTAAAGCGCTACGCAGGTGGAAGGGAAAAGAACGCTTCCGTCATCCTGGTAGGCCCCCCAGCAGCTCCTCTAAAACTAAACAAAGGTCTCTGCTAAAGATCAAATACTGCCCCTACTTGTCCGCTTGCCACAGCGCGGAGCATAGAAGGCGCTGGGTCCTGCGCTCAGCTGTCCAGACTGCTAGGAGGGCCATGAGGTTCTACTATCCGGATTTGGTGGGGAAAAGAATCCGACACCTTTATGAGGAAGATGATAAATCAGAGGTGTGGTACAGAGGAGAGGTGCTTCGCATCCATGAAGCTCATACCAACCCTCTGAAAACCATATTTGAGGTGAAGTATGACAGTGAGCCAGAGTGGAAATACTACCTGGAACTGATGATGGACTACAAGAAGGGCTGGCTTAAAATAGAAGACTAGACGTTCCTCAGGTTTTACTTTTGACAGGTTGTTGTCAGAAGAGATCAACAATGAAGCTGATGTGGATGTTTTCTTATTTTTTTTATTTAACCTGAGATGTAAATGACAAGACTTTGTCTTTGACATGCAGTGGCTTTGAGTTTTACTCTGAAAATACAATTTGAAATATGTTTGACCACGATGTAAATTTTAACTTCTCATTTCATACAAAAAAGTAAACAAATTTCAAACAGTGCCACATGTATGCATGTGTATGTTTACAGTACTTAATTTGAAGTCATTTGTTTTTAGAGATATTCTGCTTATTTGTTCCTGGAGCAAATTAAGCTCAGCAGGCATTAAGGTACTTTATATAAAGCTGCTTGGCTGTTTTTTTTTTTGTTTGTTTGTTTTTTAATAACCATCTGAGATTTTGGAATGGAAGTATATTATTCTGACATTCCATCATGACTGAACCTCATTTGTTTTTACATTTTGTATGACTGGTCTTAAAATTCTTTGAGAGTGAACGGTTTTGATCTTTATGGTCTTTAAAATAAATGTTTTTATACTGAAAGGCGGTTGCATCATTTATTCAAACCAAACTTCCCCATGTTGCCGAATCTTTCCTTAATCAACAGCTACATCATCTGTTCAGAACATGAAAGAGAAAATCTGTTTATGGGAATTTATTCCTAATTAGAAAAGGCAGAACTACCACCCAGCTGACCAACAGTGCATTGGTGTGACTGGAAATGTGAGAGAACGCCTAGAAATGCAGAAATAGGAAGTTGAAATCTGAGTTTGTCTCCATCCTGTGGAAGTAAATACTATTGCAACTTTTCTCCTCTACATGAATAATTATCCTCTGGGCCTGTGCTTTGTATGTGTGCATTTAAAATTAAAAGGTTAAAATTATTTTTGATTTTAGCTTTAAACTAAGATTAATCCATACTATAGTATGGTACAGTATATGCACTTTGTACTTGCCTGGTTTGGGCCTTTTTTTAGCCTCAGTTATAAAATCAGTGTAGTGAGTCGTAGATACTATGTCTGCTAAGTTGTAAAGAAATCCCAGGTTGATTTGTCTTTAGATCAACTTCCTTTATACAAAGATTCTCTATTCCAGCATAGGTTTGCTGGCTGATCGGATAGCAAATCATTGTCAAATCAGGAATTAGTAATTCAAAGCTTTTCAATAGACAGCAAATTGTTGTGGAATTTCCTTACAGATGCTAATCTTAGACTTTGTGGAACCAAGCCTCGAAACATCACCCCTTAGACCTAAAGTAAGTTGGATTCTCTGGATCCAGTTTTTTCAGCCGCTCTGGGTTCTTTACTTTAAGATGAAGTTCAAACTTCACTTTAAACTGAATCTCTGGGTTACTAAGCAACAGTAGGATCTGTTTTCCCTCCCAGATTGCAGACCTCTGATGTCACAGTTTTGGGATTGTCTGAACAGAAAGTAGGTTATTTTGAAACACTTGAATCAACTTTCACAATCATATTTAAACCTGGGTTTATTTGAAAAATATTTCTAGCAAATCTTTCCTCCTAAGTTTTCCATTTATATCAAAGATCTAGAATATGCAGCTGGGGGGCAACAAAGGTTTTTTTGGACCATCTATAATGGATCCTAAAAGTTTAAATGTATAATGTAATAACATATGCCCATCTTGGAAACTTTAGCAGATTAAAAAAAAATTTTAAAAAGCATTTTTGATTAAAACAACTGAATAACCTAGTTGTTTTTGTTTTGTAATTGTCTTAGGAACTTTTTTTCCCCCACAAATATTTACATGGTATTAAAGAAAATCCAAGAATTTTATGTTTCCATTTCAAAACAGAAAAAAAAATTGCAACAGATTTCTATAGCAGATATTTATAAAAATAAAAAAAACAGCTTTTGTTTCATTAAAATGTGCGTTTATTTGGCTCAATCCAGGTTCAAATAACTTTGGATTTCAAAGGTTGCAGACCCCTGATTTATGTTCCTGGATCCAACTAACAGCTAGCTTGTAGCATCGAGTGTCTGGACTAACCCTCATGGTTAAGGCCAATATCTAGCTGCTGGATTACTTGAGTCAGGAGTTCTCTATTTTATAACATTTTCATATTTTTTAATCCAGTTTCCTGTAATATTTTCCATTATAAAAGACAAAATTTGTTTCTTTGACCTATAAGCCACAATCCTCTAAACAAGCTAAAATAAACTCTTGAAATATCTCACTGTGTGTATTGAAAACGAGTTTCACTCTTACGCCGACTTACTGAAATGAGTAAGCCTTTTAATGATATTGCAATTTACTAAAACGCGACTGTGCTAGTGGATGCTGAAACAGTAGTCCATAATTAACAATCCATGCAAGAAGAGTGTTTGCAACATTTTGCACTTTAATATTTTACTCAAAAACAAACATCTAATTCCCCCCTCACATTTTACACTATAAGGAAATAAAACACCTTTAATAGCATAAAGGAAAGGTATGTAGAAAAGTATTAAAAGTTTTTTGGATGTCTTGGTTTAATGCAAGTAGCTGCTTCGGTTACACCAAAACTTAAAACCAAAAACAAATTTAAAAAAGCCTGAAATGGTCACAAACTTGTAGCAGACAGTGAAAACAGAGAGTGTCCTGGAGAGCAGATTAGGGTGATGATTACAGCTGTAGCTGAAGTTAATGCAAGACAACATCCCAAAAAAAAAAATTAAGCAACTTTAATCCATTCATATTTTGTCATCTTATGCAAACATTTGTAGAAACTTAAAAAGTAAAAAAAAAAAAAAAAAGAAGGCAAGTAATTAAAAAAAAAAAGATATTAGAAATCTTCCGAACGGATTCCTTTCAGGAAGACATAGCTCTGAAGGTTTGTAGTATACCTGTGCTAAATACATAAAGGAGAAATCTTTGATTGATTAGAAGTGCGAAAATTGGACAATTTTACCGTTTTTTTAAAAGCATCAAACCAAGTGGTCCAAACATATTTTGCCTTTAAATCCACCAATAACAGAATGTGTGTAAATAATTTTAGTTCAATTAAAATGAAGTGTTGATGCCTCAACATGAGAAATCCCATACTTTTTTAGTTTAATTCAAAACTATCTTTCACAGAACCTGGAGCCCATTTCTCCCCCTTTATGTGTTGTAATAATAATAATAAAAAAAAAAATTGTCAGACCTAAAAGAAAAAGCCAAAAATTGGTATCGGCCAGGAAGGGACTCATCAGTGCACATCTCCTGATATCTGGCTAATTAATCTGCTTGAGGTCAAAGCTACTCTAATGACACACACAGCACTCCCAATAATGAGATTTCTCATGACATTTATTCAAATAAACAGTACAGTTTATACTTTGCTAGGATAAAATAACTTGAAACACAAGCATTTGGGAGACAATTCCCCAAAGATCTGAAACTAGGGCAAAGGATGTAGTTAAACGATGGCTGACACTTTGGTGTCATCTTTCCAACTTGCAACGTGCCTGGAACGATCGCGTCCCCTCCAGTAAACCTTGTGAAGACTGCCACATCGCAGAGACATAAACGAGCATCTACAAAACAGAGAGCTTGACAATAAGGGCAGCTGCCACACAGAGCAATGCAATGCGCCTGGAGGGGCTCTGATATTTCACTATTGAAACCTCAATCCATGTAAAAAGAAAAAAGGGAAAAAAAAAACAGAAACAAACAACTTCTTATGTAAAAGTATATCGGCAATACAAAAAAAAAACAACCCTACAACCTTCAGATTTGTCCAAAAATCCTCATCTGTTCACAGATTACTCAAGCCCATCTGCTGCAGCTTGGTTTAAAGCAATGTTCAGTCTTACTGCAGGGCAAGAGATCTCTTCAAAGCGCAGGGGGCAACAAACAACCATGTGCCATTAAGGAGTTGCCTGCATGAGTGAAGTTAACGCCAAGCATACTTTGAGAGCTATCAAGCCCAATTAGAAGCACTACGATGCTGTGCTGTCAGTACATTCTACTAACCCTCTCTTAATCCTCAAGGTACAAGCCGAGCTTTAACAGGACTAACTCAAGCCACATCAGGAGAAAACGAGAGGGGAAAAAAAAAAAAAAAAAAAAGAGTGAATGTCACTCAGTTTGGCTCTTGAAAAGAATTGGTTGCGTCTCTAAAAGGATGATGGAGCAGCAAAAGATGAGCGTGGAGGGAAATAGCACTGGTATGTTCCTACTTTTGACTTGTAAAATCTTTTCCACTGTTTTTTTTTTTTGTGTCTTTTTTTAAAACCTAGACCATATACTTTCAGCGACTCATTTATCTCATCACCTGAGCACCCTTCTCTAGTTCCCTTTCAGACTAAACTGATAAGGAGGAACTTTTCTCTGGAGATCTGAGCAGATTGATGACGATGGGATGAACGCATTATTGCCAATGCTTCCCAACTCCCGCTGCTTCTGGGAGGAGTAAACAGACTCAACCTAAAGGGCAAAAGTACATCTTTTTCAAGATCGGTAAAGAATAAATATTTCAAAATTATGCAAACACGTGCCACTCTTGCTCTTTAACTTCCATGCATATGGACTATTTACAGATTGAAAAAATACAGACTTGCTGTTTTTGTTCTTTTTATTTTCTTCTTTTTTTCCCCCTGAAATGTCTTTGCCCCATTTGCAATCAGTTCATCAATATTCAGCCATCCAGGCCAGGAGTTCACTAAATATTGCCGACACGATCGGGACAATTAAAGCTGTGTTGACATTTTTTTTCACACCTATAACAAAGGAAAAAAAAAAAACTAAAAACAAAAGCCAAAAAAAAAATCAAAACAGAACAGATTCACAAAAAAAAAAGAAGTTTAGAGGAGGGTTAAAATACAGGCCAGAAGGATGTATTTGTTTACAATGGATTTTTTCTGCTTTCTGAAGACCCCCTTCTGTTGCTAACAATACTGTAGTACACTTTCTTTGTATTACTCTACACTTTCTTTAAATATAATTTATTTTAAGATTTATTTGTTAAAGAAATACAGAAAAAAAAAGATGCAAAAGTGGTTGGTTGCCAAAGGAGAGGCGGCAGAAGGCCCTTGCTGCCCTGTTTAATTGCATCAGCGCTCTAGTTTGTCAAGATACTCAATAGTCCGTTGCTCTGGGACGTGTCCTCAATCCTCGATGTACTCCCACAGGTCCTTCTCATAGCCTTCATGTACGTGCTGTAGCAGCACTCTTCGTCTGCTCTCACAGTATCTATGGACACAGGAGAAATTTTAAAGCAGACCACATTTACAGCAAGTGGGAAATAAATCATAATTCTGTTTAGAGGAATATACGTTAATCATGTTAAGCTTTAACAGTCAAAATGAACCATTGTTTTTGAAACAATGATAGAAGTTTAACAAAGATATCTACAATAGCTTTGCACGTCAAAACTTTAGATACTCATTCTTCAGACACATGCATGGGTTCTCGCTTTATTAAAGATGCAGAGAACCCCCCTGCTTTTTGTAGCCATCAAAATCTCAGCATAAAAAGTGGCTCCATATTTTACCACTCTTCTTACCAGAAATGGCAGATTTGTCTTTATTTGTTGTTATCCATGCATGAACTTATCTTTTAGGTGAAATCTGCACATTTTTAAATGGCTTAAGGCAAGAGTCGAAACAGTAGCTCAACATTGATCATTTTCATTCCTTTTGTGTGTGTTTGGAGTCATTGCTCAGTGTCAAGCAGACCGATAATGATTGAATGTCAGGTAAATCCTGTAAGGTAAACGTAAATCCTCTAATATAGGCCGGGGCCTTTATTTCACTCAGGTACATCTTGGTCCAGGTCATTATTGGAAGGAGGCCAGAATTAGAGGCAGGCCTCTGTTTCTATTTGATCAAAACAGACTACCAGTGGAATTAATAAAAATTAGATTTTGTGTCTCTTTAAACCTATAAAATACTAGGTTCATTTATTGAAAAAGTACAGTTACCATAACGGTATACAGAATGTTATTCAGACAACTTCCAGCAGCTACAATTTTTCTGCAAGGCAATACGAAAAAAAAAAAAAAAAGACACAATGGAATCTTGGCCAAACTGACTTGCGAAACAAAGTTTAAAAAACAAATTAATGGAAACTGTTCTGCCATCACAGCAAATTTTTAGTTGAGGCAGGCTAAGTGGAAGTAGGCTACTAGTATCATACATTTCAAGGGAAATTTAGAACAATGAAGGCCAATGAAACTCTGTCATTTTAACGCTGCCTGGTTACCACCAGACCTACCGGTATTCACATTTGTCTTTCAGATCAGAACGATTGTGTGGCTGGTTATACTCCTGCAGCAGTGTGTATTAGTGAGCTTGATGCAGACATTTTTGATTTATGCTTAACATTGAAGCGTGGTCTGCGGTGTACACTGTCGGTCTAGATACGTCCGCGGCGATGAGGAAGTGGGGGCAAGTAGTCCGACAACGGAGGGACATGAGGGCCAAAAAGAGCGGAGATCCAGGTGGAAAAAGGGTCCCAGCGTTCTCACGCACCTCGCTCTTCTAACTGGTCCAACTTCATGAGTTGTTTTCCGCAATTTCGGTCTTAAAAACAAAACAAGCCGACCTCCTGTCTGCGCTAAGGATAGGACTTCAAATGCTAATGGCTTGGATTCGTTAGCAAACATTGCCCCCCTGTGGTACTTGTATGTTACTATCAGAAGCTGTTGAGGACTGCCCAGGAACATTGTTGGTTCTAATTATAGCCCCGGCCTGTATAAGAGTCCGGCCAGTATTTACCTCCACCGACAGCCAGACAGGCCATTATTACAGACCCAGCGGCTAATGGAATACAGGCCAATATTAGAGGATTTACGGTATTCTTCATTCCATTCACTTTGAGCAACAAACCCCTTAATATAATGAGTGAAGTGTGTCAACAAGTTTGAAAGCTACACTTGTATTCCCTAAAATATACGTCCTCTTATTGTGGTTAAATAGCAAAGTCTTTGTCTCATTTGATTTTAACATTTTTCCACCTGCTGATGCTGAATTCTTTGCTACAAACAGTTACACTGGCGTTCAGCCTGCATCCAGTTTACGATTATTGAGCCTTACTGGTTTCTAGATTATTCATGAAGTTTCCAACTACTTTCCTTTCAACTGATCGAACAAATTGCATCAGATGGACCATAACACTTGGACGGCGGTTATTGAACCAGATTAATGATCCCAGACCTACAATCCTCCTGCTTTCAGGAGGCTTGCATTAAAGGTACTTAATTGGATCATTAAATTAACCAACTTAGACAATGCAAATTCTGTAAAGAAGAATTGTAAAATGTTGAATGATGCCAGAATCGTGGTGATGGCAAACAAACAAAACAAAAAAAAAATATGGTAAGAAGAGTCAAAGAGGCATTTGTAGATGCATAAATAAAAGCTTAGACTTGGTTACCGAAATCTTTTTACAAATAATTTAAAATCCATTCTTCATATAATTAATCTACCCGAAAAAAAGAAAAATTTAATTGTTATTTAAATCAAAAGATTATGATATCCATGGCCATAATGGGTGCAAGATTCTGATTGGAACAGCATTTCACATACCTGTACTTATCTTGTACTTTCTGCTTGATGTCCTGCAAGGAATCCTGGGAGATATCTCGCTCTAAGTAGCCAGAAAGCACCTCGGTGGCGTTTTCCAGATCTGCCTGGTTGTTCTGGGGAACAGAAGTTACACTCAAAATGCTGAATAGCACTTTTTAGGAAAAAGATGCATCTACTTCATATCAATAAAGACAGATTTTAAATCATGCTTTGGACTTATATGACTTTAAACTTTGCTGGTTGACATAGTTAATACTGAGCAACACTTACCTCAAAAATAATGGACTGGTTGTTCTTCTTGAGGTAGAAGGCAAAGACGTAAGTGAACATAAGTGTGGAGCGGCATTGGCATAGCACATCGACAGCCTTCTTCAGGAACTGCACTTCAATCCAAGACATGTTGTGCTGCTGCATCTCCTCCATCTTCTGCTTAACCTGAGCGTAGAGCTTGTGCTCAAAGCGCAGACTCTGCATGTGGTTCATGTAGCGGTTGCAGTAGAACAGGTACCTCTGCAAGGCTGCCCTGGAGCGCTGGGGAAAGAGTTTGGGACACTGACTTATAAAGTTCATACAACAAATAAGTCTATACCACAGAAAATTACAGTTAAT